TTTGTTTCTCCAGCCTGGTCGGAGCTCAGCCTTATTCCCAAGGGTGTATTCAGACGTTAGCAAAATGCCAAGCAGAGAAATGGGAGTGTTTCATGTCTGGGGAAAGGAACAGACAGAAGACAAAGAAATAAAGAGAAGTTTCTGTTGCGGACGGAGAAAGCCGTTACTGCCTTCAGCTCCAAACACATAAGCAGGGTGGTGACAGCCTTGGAAGCTTCTGGGCCACCACCTCACACTTCCTTGGACCTGGACAAAGGAACAATGTGAGCAGATTACTTTCTGAACTTCAATAATCCTAACATTACAAGGAAAACCATGGGATGTGGGTGCAGCTCATCTGTATCAGGCAGGAAGCAGCCCCGGGTTCAGTTCCCAGCACCACATAAACACAGTGTTGTGGCACAGGCTTGTAATCCCAGCACTCACTTGGGAAATGGAGGCAGGAAGACCAGAAGTTCAAGGTCATTCTTGATCACATGGTGAATTCTAGCCTGGACTACAATGAAATCCTGTCTCCAAAACAAAAATAAAAACATAGAATAACTCCCCTCCCCCGCAAAAACAAACCTCAAAACCAAAACTGGATAAACTATGCATGGTGGCACACACTTTTAATCCTAGCATTTGGGAGGCAGAGGCGGCAGATCTCTATGAGGTTGAGGGCAACCTGGTCTACAAAGTGAGTTCCAGGACAGCAAGGTCTGTGTAGAGAGACCCTGTCTCAAAAAAAAAAAAAAAAAAAGCAACGAAACCCCAAACAAACAAAACCCCCAAAAATTCAACCAAACAACAGCAATAACAATTCCAGTAGATGGCTGGGTGGTGCACGCCTTTAATCCCAGCACTCGGGAGGCAGAGCCAGGCGGATCTCTTCGAGTTCAAGGCCAGCCTGGTCTACAGAGAGAGATTCAGGACAGACACTAAAACTACACAGAGAAACCCTGTCTCACCCCCCCACCCCACCCCCACCCAAAAAAAAAATCCAGTAGGCGAACAAACACTCACTCTCCCGGCAGGAATGAAAGCTTGACTCACTCATAATCTTGCCAATCCTGAGCCCTTTGGCGTGCAAGGTCTGAGGGTGGGCTTAATTCGAAATCATGCAATACGAAGAAGTCTGTGGATATTCCACTCCGTTGCAGAAAACGTGCAGACTTTGCATATTTCTAGCACACCTTCCTTTGTGCTTTCTGTCACCCCTCCCCCCAGTTTACCTATAATACTGTGTGCAGTGTAAATGTTAGATAGTTACTATACTAGATAACTTAGGAAGTAGCAATGAGAAAAAGTCTGTATTTAAGTAGCTCAGAGACATCCTTTAAAAAAAAATCTCTCTGCCCATAAGATGACTCGTGCAGTGCAAAGCTGGCAGCTTGAGTTCAGTCCCTGTAAACCATGTAAAGGTGACACCTCCACACACATGCTGTGGCTCAGACATGCCCCCACACAGGCCTCCCCCTCACTCTCTCCTCTTTCTCTCCTGTGTGTGTGTGTGTGTGTGTGTGTGTGTGTGTGTGATGCTGGAGGAGAAGGATCAGGAGTTTAAGGCCTCTCAGAGCTACATGAGATGTCTTAAAAAACAAATTGCTGGGCTGTTTGTGATCCATGATCCACATATGGGCAATCTCCTGGTATGGTGGGCCACGTGTGTGTGTGTGTGTGTGTGTGTGTGTGTGTGTGTGTGTGTGTG